AGTCTTTCTCTCCTTCTCTTCCACCCTGCAAACCCCACTCCCTTCTAACACAGATGATATTCCCTAGTTGGGTCACAAAACGTCTGCAAGAAAACCACCAAGCTCAGAGGGCGCCACGACCCCACTTGGAAAAGACATCAGAAAAAAAATGAAGCGCGAGAGAATGATGAAAGATGTCATCAACCAACAGACCAACAATTCCTTCCTTTGGTTTACAAGCATGTTTCAACGTTTCACGAAGTCAGAGGCCCATATATTTCTCTAATTAAGGAGCATTTCAGAAACGGAGCAAAACTTTGAGTTACAGCAAGCTATCTCACATCGTTGCTTACAAAGACCTGGACTGAGCAGGAATGAGCCTGTTTTTGATCTTTGAGGACCTCAATTCAGATTGCTTGGGCAGCAGTCACATCACACGTGTAGATTTAGCCAGGTCTGAGATTTTTTATTTTTGGGGGGGAAGGATAAGGTGGAGAAAGACGCAACCATATTTTTTTCACAATTATATCTGGAGGGAGCTTTGGGGACACCTCAGAAACTAAGTTTTAGACTGGATCTCTGAAGCTGAGATACAACTTAAGGATGCATTTGAGGCAGGGAGCAGAGACAAGCATTAACAGGAACAGCAGAGGATAAAAATACGTGGGAAAAAAAAAGTTTAACGTCAAAAGCTCCGCACAGCTACAGTGCTTTTAATGGCCTTATTAGCATCCTCTTTGCTGATGAGCTCTCCAGGAGCAAAACCAGCCTCCTCTCCAAAAGCCTCGCAGGGAAATTGGAAATGAAATGAATCATATCACCGCAAAGTCTTTGCCCCTCTAACTGACTTATCGGACAGACAATCGGCTCAATCCGGATTCAGAGGAGGGCCAAGGTTTGGGCCAGATCTTCTGGAGGGCCGCTCTTTATTGCCAAGAGGACAACAATCCCTTCTGATTCTTAAGGAGACCGAAGGCCGACGGAGCCCCCGGAAGAAAGAAAGGGGACTACAGTGTCTCGAAGGACAGCTTGATCAAGTCGACTTGGGTGAATGGAGCCAGGCAGAGCAGAGTCCTGCAAGGGCATCGCTTCCCGCTCCTGTCTAGGGGACTCCCTGCTGGAGCCAAGAAGGCTTCCTCAAGTCCCATCACTTGGGTGGCACCATCAAGTCAATAAAAGGAGTCTTCTTGGCAGAATGGTGCCTACTGGTGCCACTTCAGGGAGATGGGCAGCTGGGCAGGACTGAAAACGGATTCAGATACATATTTCAAAGACAGACAGATAGGGAGAGAGAGAGAGAGAGATAGGGACACGGCATCTGTCACGAATACAAGTCATCGGCCACTTATCACGTGACCCACAACGGCCTTAAGTCTGAAAAATAGCCCTAAATCACCTTTGTTCCTCATGACGTCGTAACTTCGAACAATCACTAAACAAATGGTCATAAATGATTGCAATAGACTCGTATTTATGACGGTTCTCAGCGTCCCGGAGATCACACGATTCCCCCTTTGGGGACCTTGTGACAATCAAGCCCATGGGGAAGCTAGATCCGCTGAACAACCATGCTACTAACTTAATGACTGCGGCGATTTGCTTAACAACGGTGGCAAGAAAAGCCGTAAAACGGAGCAAAACTCACGTAACAACTGTCTCGCTTAGCAATAACATTTGGGGTGGGCTCAACTGCACTGACAGGACTCCCTGTGTCTTGTCTCCAGAGGCAAAACCCCGCCTTGTGTTGAGAAGACTTTTGGAAAGGAGGGGTATATAAAAGTAGGGAAAAATAAATACCTTTTATTGCACCCACAATATTTTGGTCTAATCCTTTCCGGTTGTCATTGAGGCCCCTTTTCCTTTTGCCGTTCGGCAGAGAGTTGGCCAACGTCTTGTCGTCAAAAAACGCGCACACCAGTTTTCGAAAGAGGAGGCTTCCTGAGCGAGTGTAATTGGCTAAAATAGAGTCCAGTTGCGATTTAGGCATAAAAACATCAAAACCCTCAGCAAGCTGCACTTCTGGCTATCAGAAACAAGAGAAAAAAGGGGGAATAACAAGGTAGGATTAGCAACGTCATCATTCTGCGGGCAAAACAAGTACAGATACACAGTTGTCGTGCCATATTGCACACCGACACAAAGACATTAAACTGGCGCCAGAAGAGTTTTCACTTACCGAATTGACAATGTTAACCCTCCGTTTAAAATGTAAGTTGGAAATAATACATTCTCTAACAGGCCAACACGTTATTATCAGCAATAAATGTTGAGAATCAAGGAAAACCTTTTTAACTTTCAAGACTCTTTTTTTTGCTATGTATTCAAAACGGACTGCAATTAATATATGTATATGTGTGTTTGTGTGTGTGTATTTGTATAGATGGATGGATGGATAGATACAAAATATAGATAGATACCATATGTATGTGTGTACATGTATGTGTATGTATTCATTTTCTTTTGAGAGCAGGCGTCAGCGTTTCATTTTTTAATGTGTCCCAGGGTGTTCACAGAAAAAAAGTGACAATAAAGATTATCTGATATCTTGTATCTCATATCTTATACAGTATTTTTTATATCTTATACATCTTATCATTCAAGCAGATGATTATCTGCATGCTTATATGTTTAGAGGTAATCCTCGACTTCCATTCATTTAGTGACCCTTCAAAATGACAAGAGCCCTGAAAAATGTGACTTGTGACTGTTTTTCACACTTACGACCATTGTAGCATTTCCCCCCCCAGGGTCATGTGATCAAAATTTGTACGCTTTCCAACTGATAAGGGGCAAAACATAACAAATGCCTCACTTAACAATGGAAGTTTTGGGCTCAATTGCTGTCGTAAATCAAGGATTTCCTGTACCAGCACTAGTTGACCTTCAGTTACTACAAACCCTACTTAAATGCTAGGGTTCGTGATGGCTGGAAGCGCCATGCATTTTGCAGGGGGCAAAACAGTTATCCAGTAAACAAACATTCGCCGAGTTTGGGAGTCACAACTTTCCAGAAAAAGTGCCATTTGCCCATGAGACACAACTGCACACACTTAACTGGAAAGACATTTGCAACAAAGCCCTCGATTGTGCACCGTCCCTTTCTCAGTCTATTAATAATCAGCCAATTAACTATCCAAGGCAAACGGCAGTTGTAAATTTTGCAGATTTGGTCTGAGATTAAGCGAGTCACTTCAGCTCCCACCCTGGCAGACCAAAACCAGGATAAAAACAGCAGCGTGATTAGTGAATTCCAAGGCAGTGTCAGAATTCAGAATAAAATTGGATAAACTTCTATAATAAGCACCCATTATCTTCTATAATGAGTGCACAGTTCCAGCAAACACACCATACCATAGCCCCAACAATAATCCTGGGGGGGGAAAAACGCAGGACTATAAATCTATCAAAAATCTTTTAGAAAAAAGATTGAAATAAGTTTCTTCATGGAGGTTCTGCGCAGGGAAGATCAGACTTCAATTAGAGATCCAATTAAAGTGATCTGCACTTTTCTTTGGGTTATGTTTCCTAAATGAATCTGTTTGTATTCTGGTCACATAAAATAAAATGCTGATTTATTCCAGATTCCTTTAGTGGGGACTTATCTTCCAATCGCCAGCAATCAGTACCCAATTGAGCTTCTCACGGCCATTCTCCAAGTATGATAACAGAAAACAATCAAGGCAATTGTGTATATAATTAACACTAATATTGCTTCAACTTTGTTGGGCTAAAATGAGTAAACCCTAAACATTTATAAAATGTTGTAACCGATTAAAAGATATTTTCTTTGCCAATTTGATAGATTATTTCGCCTTTCATCTGTTTCTGGGACTCAAACTCCCATAAGGAGGCATTCTTGAGATTAAACCTGAACAAACCTCATAGCACTTCTGAAATCTTCAGTGAGAAATATCCATCTGTGATCCATATTTTTAACACCATGCTTTAATAAATACCCAATTAAAAGTTGTTTTTTTTAAAAAAAATCCAAAAAGTCACAAGAGCAAGGTCTTGGTGTAGAAAAACCAAGATTTTCAACCAGACTTCAATTTTCCTTGCATCGATGTGGTTCAAACAAATGGAGCCTGCGTGTCCAAAACTCTGATAAAACCGAAGACCGAAATGAAAACAAAATTTAGACTAAGCTGTAAAACTAAAGGAGAAGTTTCCAGTCTTCTCCTTCTAGACATTTTAATTTTAATTATAGCACCAGTAGCACAAAAAATAAATAAATGCATAAAGTCCTTTATTATGGATTGCAATACGGATCTTAGGGGCATGAGATACTAATCTGATTACCAGGCATAGCTGGCCTCCACGTAAGTGAATTATCAGACTGCTCCTCCTTTTGCGTTATTAGTTTACACTTCTACATAGAAAGGCACCGTATCCTCTACACAAATCCTTTCTTTTATGATCACTGATACCGAATTTAATTAAGTTCTGTGATCTGGGCGCACTTAGGAAATTGGAAACTGTCCTCTCAAAATGAAAAAAAGTCCGCTGAAGAAATGAAAGCTTGGCTTCTTTGCCAACCTTGTCTCCAGCAAAACTCCAAAGCGGTTTTTCGCCTTGCCAGATAAATGTTCGACAAACGTCTCATTCGAAAGGGGGGATATATATATATATATATATATCAAATGCTGCTTTTCCAGCTCTCACAGTCGCCCTGCAAACTACGGCAAGTCCTCCACTTACAAAGTCACCCAGCTGGCTCTCGTGCCTAAGGTAGAACTAGAACTCCCCATCTCCTGGTGATGGGCACAAAGTCACCCAGTGCACACTCATCTCTTCTGGGGAAAAAAAAATAAGATATATACAAGACATATGCAGCATATATTTGATCAGCCTTGACGTTCTGTCTCATGAATTAATGAAATGTCCCTAAGGAAAGTAACATTATTTTAAGAACTGCTAGGAAAATGTAGGACACTGGGCCAGAATTGTCGAGAAGAAGAAGAAGAAGAAGAAGAAGAAGAAGAAGATTATTATTATTATTATTATTGTTATTGCTATTATTATTGTTATTGTTGTTATTATTATTATATCACCAATGGAAGGTTTTCAGTATTTATAGTCCTTGACTTACAACCACAATTAAGCCCAAACTTCCTAAGTGAAACATTTGTCAAGTGAGTTTACCCCATTTTACCACCTTTCTTGCCACCGTTGCTAAGTGCATCATGGCAGTTATTAAACTGGTAACGCGGATGTTAAGTGAAACCTGGTTTCCCCCTTGACATTTGCTCATCAGAAGGTCACCGAAGGGGGGGGGAATCACATGACCCCCCCCCCAGATACCGCAACTGTCATAAATACGAATCAATTGCCAAGTGCCTGGACTTTGATCGCAGGAGCACGGGGATGCTCCTACGGTCGTTAAGTGTGGAAAATGGCTTGTCAAGTCCCTTTTTTTTCGGTGCCGCCTGTAGCTTTGAACGGACTATCGTAAGCCAAGGTCTGCCTGCAACCGACTGCCTCTCGTCCACTTACATCTGAAGACGAGGATTCGAGCACGATGCCGAATCCTGAAACCGGCGGCTCCGTTTTCACGGAGGCCTCGGCCGCTTCCACGCTCAACCGGTCAACCAAATTCGCGGGTAACTTCCTGCTGTTCTTGCCGGGGCCCGGTTCCTGTTTCACAGCAAGGGGCTCGACAGTCTTTGGGGTCACTTTTTTCTTTTTATTCCTCTTCCTTGAGACTGTGGATTTCTGCAAGGTAGCCAGAGGAACCAGGGGCTGAGGTCGGTTCTGGGCAGCTGCTGAGAGAAGAAAAGAAAGAAAAAGAGGTCAGAAGCTTGCAAGGTTTTTCCTTTCTGAAATGACAAATCTTTGCTCCCCCTCTCGGCATCGCCAGAACCCCTCAAAACTCGCCTCCACCCAACGGAGTCCCACGGAGTCCCGGAAGGAAAGAAGGACGGGGAGATACAGGCCGTGACGGCTGCAAGCATCTCCGTGCATAAAGATGGCGAAAGATCGTCTAAAGCAGTGGTTGTTTTTTTTCAACCCGTGCCGGTTCTAAGATCGGCGGACTTTCAACTCCCAGAATTCCCCAGCCAGAAGTCGGACACCAAGTCAAATTGTGCTGAGCTGTTTTGTGACTTGGGATGAACCCGGTGCAACTTTTAAGGCTTGTGGACTTCAACTCCTGGCTGGGGAATCCTGGGAGTTGAACTCAACACGCCTTCCAAGCTGCCAAGTGATCTAAGGTAGCCAACATGACTTCTGTGGAACTGAAGGCAAGCAAAACTGATGAACGGTCAGAATTTGTGGTCACAATTCAAGGACTGCCACTGATAAAAACATACTTGGACAATAAAAAGCAAAAATAAAAAAAAATCCCACCCTTACTTTTCTTTAGCAAAAGTTTTCTTTGAGACCCCAAAGGTGCTTCCCAACCACCCCCCAAAAAGGCAGCCGGACTTTGTTTTTCCTTGAAGAAGTTTCGCTTCTTGGCCCAGAGGCTTCCTCAGTTCTTCAGTTCAGTTCAAATCAGAAGTGAATTTAAGTTTCTTGGATAAGAAGCGAAACCTCTTCAAGGAAAAAAAACCAAGAAAGTCCAGCTGATTTTTGGAAAAGCACCTTTGGGACAACGGGATGATAGAGAATCTCCATAATTATTAAGCAAAGTCATGAAGTTGTGTGTTTATGGAGAGTCCCCATCATCCAAAGGTGCTTTTTTTTCCAAGAGACGACTGGGCGGTCTTGTTTTTCTCTGAAGACGTTTCCCTTCCCATCCAAGAAGCTTCTTCAGTTCTGACTGGATGGAGCAAAACATCTTCAAAGAAAATCAAGAAAGTCCACTTGACTTTTGGAAAAGCAACCATGGGACAACCCTGACCCGAAAGATGTCTTTCCAGAAAGTGGCTGGACTTTCTTGGTTTTTCCTTGAAGACATTTTGCTTCTTGTCCCAGAAGCTTCTTCGGTTTCTCCGTTCAGTTCAGATCAACTCAGAATGGAAGAAGCTTCTCAGATAAGAAGTGAAATTCTTCAAAGAATAAGCCAGAAAGTCCAGTTGGCTCTTTGGGGGGGGGGGGCGGTGGGGAAACAACTTTGGGACAATCTCCATAGATGTTTTCTTTGAGGCCAACCCTGTAAAATGAGAGACAGGGGGACCCCCACAGTTTGTGTGTGTGTGGGGGGGGTTCGAAAGACCGATTGTCTTACCGGCTTGGATCTGCATGATCTTCCTCATAGTTTTCAGCTCCTGAAGAATGGCCTGCAGAGCTGGCTGACAATTGCAAGTGCAACAGTTTGATCCGGAAGAGGAGGAGGCGGAGGCGGCGTTGGCCACTGGGATTTCTCCTGGGGAAAACAAAAGAAATCCACACCATTAGCTCCCCGCTTCCCCTACGCATCGCCTCCACGCTGGGCTTCTTCCTGGGAAATGGTCGCTACTTGCAGCCGGCAAGCCGAAAACCCCGAAACCAAATCTGGGTGAGAGGCCTGGGCTGATTGCCTTCCTCTTTGCGTTGTGTAAACGTGCAGAGGAGACCACAAAAATGGCAACTCTGGCCAAAGCAGGCTGCCTTCACATTGTGGAGCGGAGTTTGTGGAACCCCAACAGAAGTCGCAGCCACACCTCCTTTCTGCGAGCGGCCCTGGCTCCTCTGAGAGTACCACGCAATACAGGTGGTCTTTGACTTAAGCAGGGTGCATTTAGCGACCGTTCGAAGGCACAACGCCAGTGGAAAAAGGGTCTGAGGACCTTTTTTTCACCCTTACGACCGTTGCGATCCAAATGAGATGCTCGGCAACCGATTCATATTTATGACGGCTGCAGCGTCCTGGGGCCATGTAATCCCTTTTTGCGACCCTCTGATAAGTTCGGGCCGGGGGGGTTGGACTAGATGACTCATAAGGTCCCTTCCAACTCTGATTATGTGTAATCAGTCAAGAGGGAGGAAGCCTGATCTGCTTAACAACTAGCTTACTAGTAGTAAGACTTACTAGTCTTACTAGCTTATCCACTGCAGCCACCCGCTTCAACGAACGCAGCGAGAGAATTCGTAACATGGGACAAAACCCACTTCGAAACAGATATTCTGGGCTCCATTGTGGCCGTATGTGGAGGACTCCCTGCATAAGACGAAGTGGTCTTGCTGTGAGGTCCTCCCCTAAGGACTGCGCGGTTCCCGCTTAACCACGTTCGCAACGGCTGCTGCTACGAGGTGCAGTTGCACAACATTTCTTAAGGACCCCTTAGCTGACCAATGGCGATTCACGGCCTCCTTTAGGATTGCAAGTAACCCCAAATTATCCATATGGATTCTTCCTGCTCCTTAATATTCTGGTGGGGACGGTGGCCACGTTTGCGCAAAGCCAAATAGGCTGAAATTAATTATTTTTGTCATCTATTTTTTTTCCCCTGCGACAAATATAATGCATTTCTAATGAGGGTGTGCAGGTCCAAACACCCTCAAAGAGGGAAAAATAGTCATAAATGAAACGTTGGTTTTTCCCAGTGGGACACGGGAGAATTACATTATTATCGCCATTAGCATCGGGTAAGAAACTAAACATGCAAATCTCCTTTATGTACCATAAATGGGGGTGGGGAATAAAGAAGGAAAACTGCTGATATTTTAAGTCAAAAGCAGGGCTTGGTTAACATCATCCATATTTATCAACTTTAAATAATAACAATAATAATAATAATAATAATAATAATAATAATAATAATAATCTTTCTCCGGAAGAAGATTAGAGCAGGCTGCCTTAGATCCACTTCATGTTGTGGGGTAACCAGTTTATCATTTATTTTAGGACAATGAAAGGAACGCAGGAAGTCCTTGACTTAACAATAGTTCGTTTAGTGACCGTTCAAAGTTACAATGGCACTGGAAAAAAAAGGACAATTTTTCACACTTGTGACCGTTGCAGCCCTTCCCTCAGGGTCACAGGATCCAAATTCAGACGGCCGGAGAGCTAACTCGGAGTTAGGACGGTCGCAGCGTCCCTGGGGTCGCGCGGGATCCCAGATTCACTTAACAACCTTGTGACTAATTTAACAACTTCGATGATTCACTTAATGACCATATTACAAACTGAACGGCAGTGATTCATTAAACGACTCTGGCCGGAAAAGTCGTAGAATGGGGTAAAACTCACTTAGCAATATAAACGTTGGTCCCCATCGTGGCCGTACGTTGAGGTTCACCTGTATATTGGGTTTTTTTTTAAAAAAGCCACTGATACATGCAATTAGATATTTAATTCAAGAAGAGAAAGAGAACTAATAAAGAGAAACCGATATAAACTGGACTCCGTCTTGCCCTTAGGCCCTTCCAGTGGCGCCTGCCAGGATGGAGATTGTGAAGTTCAAAATGGCAGCTGTGACTTGGCAAAGTTGGAAAATTCCTTGCGGGGTGGAGTCTATCTGGGCAACTGAATGGAGCTAGCACAATTTTTACTGGCCGGATGCCTTTCCTGTCACCAGTGCGGAGTTTTGTTCAGCAGATCTATTCTCATCGTGTCCAGAGAGAGAAACATCTGCCTCTACCTAGGCTCGAACTCACAGACTCGTGATTGTGAGGGGAGAGCGCCACCTCTAGGCCACCACACCACTCCCAGTCAACAAGTCAACTACAGGAGTACCATAATTTTTAACATTTTTTTTATGTTGATTTTTATTAATTGAGAATCATTTTTCACACTTATGATTGTCGCAGCATCCCCGCGGTCACATGATCAAAATTTAGATTGCTGGACAATTGACTCATACTTATGACCATCGCAGCATCCCAGGGTCACGTGACCCCCTCTTGCGACCTCCCGATGAGCAAAGTCGGCGAGGAAGCTGGATTCACTTAACGACCAGGTGACTAACTTATCAACTGGAGTGATTCACTTCACAACTGTGGTGAGTGAAGCTGTAAAACGGGGTGGGTGAGTGGTTTGAGCCCCTCGCTTAGCCACAGAAATTTGGGCTCCATTGTGGTCATAAGCCGAAGATTACCTGTCATGTAAGGACAAAAAAAAAGCTTGGGAGTTTTGTCTTCCTTTGTGACCTGGGAACTCGACATAATGAAACTCTGATCAATCGTGGTTTACAGTGTTGTGGCCGGCCAGCAGCTGATGAGCTGGTAGCAGAGTCAGACAGTAGTGAGGAGGCTGGGGAGGAACCTGGGCCGTGTCTGGAGGCTGAGGAAGGCTCGGACGAGGACTCTGCATCGGAGGCAGGGATGGGGCCAGGGCAGGCTGGCAGTAAGCAGGTGCCTTTGGGTCTGGACAGCAGTGATGCGAGGGAGCTTCTGGGGGGCTACCAGAAGACAAGAACCATTGAGAAAACAGGGTCGACTGTGGAGTAAGGCCACACCTCAGAGATGATTGGCTCCTCCCATAAAGACACAAAAGAGGAGCGAAGGGGATGTGAGCTTTTGCAGGAAGCAATTAATTCGTCTGGTTCAAGCTCTGAAAAGTTCTGTTTGACTCTGTGCCAAGTTTGGCCTTGCCCTGCGTCGGACAATTCGTTCTCAGGCCGCATTCCAAGTGTGGTAAGATGGGTGTTTATCAACGTACCCCTGAAAGACTGTTTGCCAAGGCTTGCCGGCTGTGAATGAACGTGATTCACAGCTGCGGAAATAAAAGAGGCTTTGCTGGGACTACGATTGTGTGTTATGCTCGCTAAGGAAGCCTAGGTCAGAACATACAGGTAGAAAAACTGAAATCTCTATCTCGTACCGTTTGTCCCCAGGGTTCTGGCCTGGTTCTGGAAAGAGGTTTTGGAGCGGGTGCCGTACTGCCCTGAATAGTGTCCGGTCTGGGGAGACAATTCGTTCCAGGAGCTGCTCTGCAATGGCTGGAGGTGGCCAGGGGTGTCCGCAGGAGGGTTCAGCCGCGGAGTCCAGGCCAGGTCCAAATCCTGGACTTCTTCCTTCAACTTTTCCCCTTCTTTCCCGACTCGCTGGTAGATCCGTCCCACGCTGTCGTTCAGTAGTCTTCTCATCCCCGTGATCTGTTTTTTAATCTCCCGGCTTTCATCACCTAGAATCGAACAGAAAACACGACCGTAAATGGGGGAATACAATAACATTGCTCTACAGGCAGAGGGGGTGTTCAGCCGGTTCTGACCGGTTTTGGAGAACCGGTAGTGGAAATGTTGAGTAGTTCAGAGAACCAGCATAAATCCCGCCTCTGACTGTCTCCGCCAGTCCCATCTCTTCTCCGCCTCCCGTTGAGTCCCAGCTGATTGGCTGGGTCTCCTTTGGTTGCCCCGCAGAGGAAAATGGAGCTGGAAAGCAGGTTAGTGGGGTGGGAAGGGAAGGGGGATTTTGCAGTATCCTTCCCCTGCCGCGCCCACCAAGCCACGCCCATAGAACCGGTACTAAAAAAAAAAATTGAATCCCACCACTGCTCTACAGGCAGTCCTTGACTTATAACAGTTCGCTATTTTGACTTGGGACCTATTTGATCAATGGTTAGCTAACAAAAACAGAAGTTAGAAACATGGAGATATGAGAAAAGGAACAATGAAAAGTCTGATGATGATGATAGAATGAATATCAATGTAATGAATATTGATGACTATTTACTAAAACTATTTGTACCCAGACAATACGCTGTTTAACCAAAAATGAAATTTTTATATGTTATCAAATGAAAAAACTTCATGCAAAAAAAAAGAAAAGAAAAAAGAAAGAAGTTCACTTAGTGACTGTCCGAAGTTACTACGGCCTGGAAAAAAGGGGGACCGAGGACCATTGGTAGAAGCGAACGTGGCCTAGGAAGCCATCCCGATCGAGAGAGCAAAAGACATTTCCCAGGTAGCCTGCCTATTCAGCTGGTCCTTGACTTATGACCATAACTGAGCCCGACCTCTGTCGCTAAGTGAGACAATTGTTAAAACGGGCAGAGTTTTGCCCCATTTTAAGACCTTGCTTGCCACAACTGCTAAATGAAACCTTGCAGTTGGTAAGTTGGCAACAACATGGCTGTGAAGTGAATCCAGCTTCCCTGTCGATTCTGTTTGTCAGACGGTTGCAAAAGTGGATCACGTGACCCTCCGGGACACAAAGCCATCATAAATACCTGCCAGTTACTACAAAGGTCATAAGTGTGAAAAATGGCCGTAAGTCATTTTTTTCAGTGCCATTATAACTTCTAACAGTCATTAAACGAACTGTTGTTAGCACGAGGATTACCTGTACGTCACTGTACACACCGGTAAAAATGCCCTTGACTTGCGACCAGTCCCCGTTAGTGACCATTTGAAATTGCAAAAGACCCCCCATGCCCAAAAAAGTTACTTATTATGATCCAGATTAGAAATTCTGACGGCCGATTCCCCATGGTCACATTTTGCGTCCTTAGTCATTGGCCCACATTTACAGCAGTGTGCAGCATCTGGCGGTCAATTGGTCAACTCGTTTACACCAAGGTGGGTGTTTATTCCTGCTTTCTGACAAAAAGCACCTGTTCGGACCAAGACCGTAATTACGCACACGCTTATTTTAAAAACAAGTCTTGTTTTATTGCAACGCTGGGAATTGTTTTCATTCCCAGCCGGGAATGAATCTCAAACAGTCCCTCGAGATAAGCACCCACCTTTGTTTCCTGGGAAGTGCTGCCAAGAACAGAAGTGTCAAATAAACTAGGAGAAAAACCAACCGAAGTACAAAGAGCTTCAACGATGACTCTGAACCGATTGAACAACATTGCTTCCTGCAAAGGTTCCGTCATCTTGGCCTGACTTTTATACCTTATGGGAGGGGCCATCACCTCCGAGCCTTACTCCTGAGTCGCCCCTTTTGTCTCAGCTGCTCTCGCCTTCTAGCAGCTCTGTGCACAGGTGCACTGGGAACAGGCTCCCCTTATTCCTCTTCCTCGCTGCTGCCAGACTCCGAAGGCTCCGAAGGCAGCAGCCCACTCCCAGATGGTCCTGGCCCCATCCCTGCATCGGACGCAAGACCCTCGTTGGAGTCCTCTCCAGACACCTGGACTGATCCCCTTTCTTTCCCATTGTCTGACTGGCTGCCGGCAAACCACAACAGCACCCCTTGTAGAAAAGGGCTTCACTTAACGACGGCCTTAAAATTGGATCAGTCATGTGGCGAGCCGCTTAACAATGAGCGCAATTTACGATCGTAATTCTGGGCTGAGTGACGGTTGTTAAGCCAAGGACTCTCCGGATGCAAATTTGAAGACCCTTCCCTGCAATTGATTCTCTGCCATATTTCCAGCTGTCAAGAAAACCAGATTCCTTTCTCGAAAGAGACAAACCCCCCCTTCTTGTTGCAAGAACTGACAAAGATCTCTCTGTGCTTGTATTTTTAGTTAAAATTAAGAAAATATGGGTATTGTTTTGCAGAAGACTCAGCGGTAACTGGATAGGTAGCAGGCGTGTCGCATCCGATGAGGAGGCAAAGCAAATTGAAAAGAAAACCAGATTTTATTTAACGTCCAGAACGCAGCATCCATCCAAGGCCTTTGCTGCATGAATGCAAAAAGAAAAGGAGGAAGAAAAAAAAAGCCAGCTACAAAATGGCCCATTTAAAAACAATTACGTCCCCGGTCTCATTTAAGTATTAATTTTATTTATGATCATACTTATTTCATTCTGCGTCTCTGCATGTTTGCAGCCGAGGGTTGCTGTTTTGCCTGCTGGGGCATGGAAATACATTTCATTAGCGGGAAGCAAAATCACGGCAAGAAACCATCAAGCATTTTAAGCATGAGCGGAAATGGATATTGAAATCCAGCCGCCGTCGTACAAGATGGATTTCCCCCACCAAAATCTCTCCTGGGTGAAAAGCATCGTCCATAAAATGACGCCTCCTCAATCCGATTGACTATTTTAATACCATTTTTTTTTTAAAGTCTGGACCCAAATACAGGGCAGACCACAAGGGAGCCCCAAATTTGTGTCCCTAAGCGAGTTTTGCCCCATTTAACCGCTTTTCTTCCCATGTTTGTTAAGTGAATCACTGCTGTCGTTAAATTAGTAACCCAGTCGTTAAGTGAATCTGGCTTCCCCTTTGACGTTGCCTGCCAGAAGGTCACAAAAGGGGATCACGTGACCCCCAGGGACGCAATAAATCGTCGTGAATATGAGTCAGTTGCCCAACGTCTGAATTTGGATCCCATGACCACGGGGACAGCTGCTATGGTCTTAAGTGTGAAAATCGGCCCTAAGTTACTTTTTTCAGTGGCGTTGCAACTTTGAATGGTCCCTAAGTGAACTGTCGTCCTTAAATATTTTGCGAAGATACAAGCAAGGAGAGCAAAAGTAAAAGGCTCTTGTTATCCAAACGAATCCCCTCCCCCCCTCTTTTTTTTAAAAATCAGGGCAGGAACAATTTTTTTTCCTCCTGACCTGATTATTTTGCCTTCAGTATATATATAGAGAGATAGAGAGAGAGAGAGATGAAGATATTAGATAGATAGATAGATAGATAGATAGATAGATAGATAGATAGATAG